TCTTCCCTCTAGGATGGACACCAGATCTAGGTTCATCCCCAAGACATCAAAGGAAGGTTGGAAGGGTTTGCCTTTTGCCCCAGATTTAGCATGCTTCCATCCCAACAAGTCAAGCAGTCGAGAAATGTCGTGATCCACGGATTCGGCAGCGGCTTCAGGTGTAAATAATGGATAATCATCAAAGAAGAATCCCCCTGGGATGCCCAGGCAGCGGTTCATGATCCACCATAGTGTCCTGCTAACCCTCACGAAAGCAAAGACCGAGGCTGATGCCCCGAACATCAAGGAGTTGCAAATGTGGTAGGTCGGCTCACCATTTGGGGCCTGGACCATAATGACACACAGGTCCCTGTCCCTTGGGTGGACTGCCACTTGCTTGTAAGCCTTAGACAAGTCCAAGCACTTGCCAAGCCAGCGAACACGTGCACTCACCTTGGAGCTCTGAAGACGTTCGGCAATGAAGAGAGCAAGGGAAGCTATGTAGTCGGAGTCATGAAGTTGCAGGGCAATGGTGGCAGAATAAGCAGCGTTCAACTGAGCCTCCAGACAATCGTCGATGGGGCGAACCTTTCGCCCCCCATCCTGGACGAGGACGAAACGGCGCACCACGCCCCAGTTGTCGTGCCCAAAGAAATCGCTGACCTCTTTTGCACTCATGCCCTTCTTCAAGAAACCAGCCTCGACTTCTTCATTGGTTGCTTCGGCTAAGAGTTTAGCATCGGTTTCCGAAAGGTTCCCACGGTCTAGGGTGGCCAGGCTCTCCCTTCGATGTTTTGCAGTAGCACGGAGCTCCTCAACCGACAAAGTTGCGGGGACCACCTTCTTTAGGAAGCTCTCTGGATGCTTCTCGCAGCCTACAAGTTTAACACCCTCCTTCATGAGCCGGACGCAATCTAGGTCAGGATAAGAGGTCTCCCTGAGGACTTCCTCCCATACAAGAAGGTTCTTCTCCTTCAAAACCCCTTGCATGTAGTCCGGCATGGAAGCATGCAGGGCTTCCTCCTGAGGCTTCAGCTGCTCTATCCTTTTCTCAAGATGGTCGAGAAACTCCTTTCTCTGTTTGGCAAGCCAGGCTACATCTTTATTCAAGAAGGAGTCTATAGCTGCCTTGGTCACCATCGCCACGGGTTTTGTGGTATCCATGGGATGAGCCAACGAACACGCCTTTGCAAAGAACTCAGAGGGGGAATGCCACAAGCCCACAGTTATGGTCTCATCTGAAGGTACCTCGCCCTGCTGGGATATCTCACCTGACGGCACCTCACCTGCTGGCACCTCGGATGGCACTGAACTGGCACCCTTGGATGGCACTGAACTGGCACCCTTGGATGGCACTGAACTGGCACCCTTGGATGGCACTGGACTGGCATCCCTGGATGGCTCTGCACTGGCACCCCTGGATGGCATGGAACTGGCACCTGACACATCGGGACTGGAACTAGCCACACTCACCCCCTGCAGCTGGCTAGAAGAAAGGACCTTAGCCCCCTTGAGGCAATGCAGAGTCCTTGGGGAGTTTGATCACCTCGCGATATTCCGGGATCAAAGGCCTGAAACGGCGAGTTTGGACTCCAAGGGAGGCCAAAGAGTGATCGTGCAGTCTGGTCGATGCAGGAAGTGGTTGGCCCGAAGCTCGCATGAAGTTGAGAAGCTCAGTTGTCATTTTCACACAAAGGTCGAGAGGATACGAGGCATCCTCAGCAATTTCGGCAATCGACCGCCTCTGCAACCAGACCTTATGAGAGTGCTGCCCATTGCAAGTTAAGCCCAACCTGCTAAAGAGGTCCCCGGGGTATAGCAGGCGAAGGGGTCTGGCACGGTTGCCCCCAAACATGCAAGTATGCAGCGAGACCGAGCTCAACTTGCCCCACTGGCTCGCAATCGTGGGATCGGTCGAGGCCCTGGCCAAAGAAGCAAAGATTTGCCACACATGTGAGCCCGTGGGGTTCTCCAGGCAGAAAGGGATTTCATGCTTGATGCAGAAGACTGCAACTGCAAATGCAAACTGATACACACGGTTTGCCTCTACCAGGCGTGGCTCACTTGAGGCTGAGGCCATAGCTTCAGGGCATCCGAAGGGATGAACAGTTGATCGCATAGCCCTGGCGGACCGAGAATGCGAGTTGCAGGTGTCTGAAGGGAGTCCAAGATGCACAAAGGCTGGCTTGCAAGAGTCCAAAATGGACCACACAAAGTTTTGCCCTTTTAAGGACGCTAAATCAATTTTGCAAACCGGCACAAGGCTATGAATCAGCCTAGCATCAAAGGAAATAACCGAAAATCCTACACGCCGAAGCTGCTGGGACAATCGGCCGCGCCCCGAGAAAAGCTCTAAAGCCAGCGGGGCTCCACCGGGCTCTGCAGTTGGAGCACGGCTCGGAGGCTCAACCACTATTGGCCTGGTTGGCTCGGAACATGGCCTAACAACCGAGGGACTAGAACCAACTAAACCCCTATGGGGGAGGGGTGCGAAGAGGCTGGGCCCGCGACCCTGGCAATGCAAACTTGGCCTGAAGCAGAGACTGCTGGTCAGCAGAGGAGAGCTGCTGCAAATCTCGAATGGTGTAGGACACCAGGACCACCCGATCTCCCTGCCAGGCCTCAGTCCAATGCATGACATCTCTTGCTGCAAACCGAATCATCCCGTTGACAAAGGGAATCACTCGGCCTCCATACTCACAGCCGGCATTTCTCACCCTCGGGGTCTTGAATGATGACCCCGCCACCGGAAAAATCGGAAATGGCAAAAACTTGGCTTGTACTCTGCGGGCAATTATGAGAGTCCCTGTGGGGGACCGTCAAGTTGTTGCGAAAAAGGGCTAAAGATGAAAATTTGACAGCAGGAGCTTTCTGGCGGGCAAAGGTTGCCAACAACTCGGACGACCATGGAAAAACTTTGAGATTGCTGGTAATTGAGCACATGCCGCCATGCACAAAAGCACCTGTGACAAAGGCCTTAGCATCCTCACTGGACCCTCTGGGATTGTTGCCTGAGGGCAGGAGCTCGAAAACTGAAAGTAAGTCGGACAAAGTAAGTCGGACTTGCCTGGCTGACCTTTCAAGAGGGCGCTGCGAGCCAAAGCCTCCGCAGGATGAAGGCCAGGTTGGGCCTCCGGGGTCCAATCATTAGCCTGCAGCGCCTCAGACTGTCAGTCTGTATGTGTACACTCAATGTAGGGCTTGTCGCGAAAGCATCCTTTCAGGTAGCACTGATGAAATCCTCGATTGCACCGCTTGCCCTTGCCCTTTCACTTACACTTTCCTTGGTTCCACAAGAAACAGAGAGGCTGATTCTTGTCGTTACGATCACAGCAGCCTTCAGGAAGGTTGAAGCGCTTGGCTGGATCAATCTCCTTCCCATCCTCGCCTTTCCTCCCCTTCCCATTGCCCTTCCAAGCCTTGCTCATGAAGCCCTTATCAATCTTCGCATCAGCGCTCAGCTCTCGCTTGTGTGGCAAGGTTGGAGGCGGAGGCGGAGGCAGCTTGGGAAGGGGAACCAGGTACTGGGAAATCTCTGGAGAGTACATAAGCTGCCCAATTTGGCGATCAAGCGGTGTCTCCTCTCCGGCTCGAGCGGCCCGGAGATCAGCAGGGAAGGACTCGGCAGCCAACATGAAGAGCCTCTTATCTGCACTCACCAATTGCTTTAGCTGAATCGGCGAATACCCATCCGGGACTTCCCTTGCAAAGATGGAAAACAAGTGGTGAACCCACGTCTCAACCACTATGAAAGTTGCGAGCCCTGCCATGTCCATAGCAAGCGATCTCCTCTGCCAGGCTGCGCGAAGTTTTGAGTCAGTGCTGGCTATGCACCTAACCTCGCTCGTTTTCGCCTGCACCTTCACCTG